AGCTTTGCATCTGCAGAGTAGGTTTTTCTGCATGATATATGTGCAGTTTTACTTTAGGTTTGTTTTTATTTTTCAGCGTCCGAAAGACAACTAGGGCCTTTGGACAGGTCAGAAGCAAAACTATTGATGTCGCCGAAGATGTTAAGGAAAAGGTGACAAATACCTTCCAGACACTTAAGTAAGTCCAACTCTTGACTCATTCACTTGCACAGAAATTCGGAAGCTTATAAAAACATAAGTGACTCTATGGGATCAGCATTGGGAACCGTGAAGGTAATTGTTTCTTTTTCCTTATATTTCAAACTCCTTTTCTCCATTTTATCTTAACTGTGTTTTTATAAACGAACGTTTCTCCTCGTGATTTGCCGTTCGTCAATTTAGTTAAGCTAATTTAGGGCAACCTCTCCGGTGTCTGATTTCGGTCATACACGACAATAAACAGGCCCTGTGTAAGGATGCCTTGTCATCTGTATATTGTCAAACCTTTTAGAGTTATCGTTCCTTTGTCCAAAAAATAAAGACAAAACGACAGCCTACTTCATATAGTCGTCTGACTTTTGTTCTCTTATAGGCCTTTGCGATGCCACGACTGGCCGCTTTAAGTTGGTCACCTCAGCCTCGTTAGGCAGGTTCTCTTGTTTTAGCACTGTTCTGTCACGACTTTTTGTTCCTCCTCGTCGTGGTTGTATCCCAAGGAGATTAGCCCTGTTGGCCTTGTTATCACAATTCCTGTCTTCACAGCTCTCACAGGGTCTCCAGTAAACGATTTTACTTTTCTGCATGCCTTACTGTTGTGCAATCCAAAATTTAGGCCCCAAATCATTTGCAATTGCTAATTTGTCATAAAAACAGCTATCGGACACAATAAATTCCCCTTTTAAATGTTTGATTTTTTTTAAGTTTTGGACTCCTATCTCCTACAAGCATTTAATGGCTTTCTGTGTTCTTGGTTCGTCCTCCCAATTATCCTTAATACCGCCCGTAGATTCGAAGTGACGCTGTTTTCTTCTACTGATATCGTGCTTGTACTAGATTCGATTGGTTCCTGTTGTTGGATGAATCGGCTTCACTGACAGCGGCAGTTAGAAGCGTTTTCCTCGCAAATATCAACCTAGTGCTTGTTCTGGTGTCGCAAGCCGTAAACAGTTGCGAGACCCATGCTTTCGATGTCTGACAGTGTTGAGCCACGTCTTCCGTCGACCGCTATGCCGGTATCTCCATTTTGAATTACGAGAAGGATTCACGACCTTTCTGTAAAGGTCCGCCGATGGCGTACGCAAGACATGTCCAAACCATTGCAGTCGGCGATGTTGGGCGCATGACACTAGACTTGGTAGTTGGGAAGACCTGCGATTTAGTTCAATATTGGGAAGTCGGTCCTGCCAGGAGACCCTTAAGAGACGTTGAAGACACCGACGGCTAAAGACTTCGAGCGATAGGATGTCTGCCTTTCTGACAGGCTATGTTTCGTCAGCGGCTTAGTACGTAAGCTGATTTCTCAGAACGACCAGAATAGTCTGGCTAGCAGCCCAAATGCACTTCGAGCCTGCGCGATTTGGTTCTTGATTTCTTCTTTGGCCCGTCTGTTGGCTAGCATATTCGAGCTCAACTAGCGGAAGCAGATAACTTCTTCGATGGCCGCGGTAATCTGTTGGTTCTGGTGTCAGTGTTTCAGCATGTGGTGCAAAATGATGGTCTGTTCAACATATCCTCTACATCAACGAAATCATCCTTGCTTAGGACGAGTGCCTAAATTTCGCTCAATCGCAAATATATTGATAGAATGGTTGCAAACACTAGCGGTTATATCGGTGACACTGATGCCGCGATAATTGCAACGAATGGACATTTCACCGCGCTTCGGTACCGGCAAAATGATGGAGAATGACAAGTTAGTTAGGATGACTTCTTTAGATCATATAGTTAGGTACAGTCAATAAAATGATTCTGTCGAAGTAGAACAGCCAGTTTTGTAGAATTGCACTAGAATGCCATCCTCCTCGTCGCAATGGAGTTTCTATCTCCCATCTCGTAGGTGGTTCGCAGTCAATATCGTATGGAATTCCAGTTGATAACTGTAGGTTCGCAGACGGACGCATATGCGGATTCAGTAGCCCTCTGAAGTGTTCTCGCCATCGATCGATTTTGCCAGCGATATCAATTATTACCTTTCTCAAATTAACCCAAACTGTGGCGTAAGGCGGATTATTTTCGCCAGGTGTTTTACGCTATAGTTAATAGAGCTCTTGGAAGCTACTAGAATTAGGAGCTACTTCCATGGCGCCAGTAAACTTGGTCCAAT